CTTCCAGGAGATCAGTGCCCATGTGAAGGAGGCCCAGAGAACTGTCTGACCTGCTAACAGCTGAGAAGACTGAGAATACTGGCGTGGTCACAGAGCGAAGAAACAGGCCCTCACCAGGCACAGGATCTACTCTCTAGACCTTCAAGACGTAGTTCCATTGTTTATAAGGCATCCAGGCTATGTTGCCACATTACAGCTGTCCCCTTGGACTAAAACGGATTTCTTTTAAACTATCTGGACTCTATTTATCTGCTGCAGACTTTTACATTGACGTCTTTAGTCCAGACTATTCATTCAACTTTAGATTCATAATCCAACTACTTAATGACCTTTCTGTTTCGGCATATAAAACTTTACCTGTCCAAAACATATCCCTTCATCTTTCCCGTTAATCTTCCCCACTTTTGAAAAATGGAATTCTAGCCAGTCATGGTGGCACACGTCTTTCATTCCTGCACCCGGGGAAGCAGAGGCAGGCAGATTTCTTCCCGGCCGGCCTGATCTACATAGCAAGTTGCAGGACAGCCAGGCCTCTGTAGAGAGACCTTGTCGCAAACAATAGGGAGTCATGTCCAATTCTCCTTTTCCTTTCTAATACCACATCTGAGACGAAGTCTTTTCTTGTTTTGTCTTTACTACTGGTGTGGAATTCAACCACTTGCCATGTTCGAGACTATACCACCCTGGTCCGATACTATCATCTCTCCCAGAATTATTAAAACCTCTGAATGCATCAACTTCTATTCTTTCTCTTCCTATCTACCTTCAACATATCATTCAGTGTGATCTTCTTAGCGTGTGGATCTGGTCCTGTCGCTCTTAATTTGAAACATAGGTGGCTTCCTGTGGACTCCAGGTAAACGCCAGAGCCCGTACAGTGACCTATAACCTGACCTGTGACCTGGCTCGACTTCGCTCTCTAGCTGTCTCCACGGCAGCCATATTGCACTTTTGAGCATGGCCAGCAACCTCCTGTGTGGTCTTTTTCACTTTCTGGTTGCTCTGTCTCGAAAGTTCTTCCTCTCAAGTTCCTATAGGGAGGGAGAGTGCCCTTCTCTTGGCTGCTGATATTCAAGTTACTGTAGCAGCAGCTCCCCTGGCCACCCCCTCAACACCTCCCACGTCCTTTCCTCCAGCCCAGCTTTGTGTCCTGGTTGTTTGATTTTGCTCTTTAGGGAAAAAAAAAATTACTGCACCTTTTACTCCGTCGCTTTGTTTGTTCTGTGTTCTCTAGTCAGTGTGTTCCGTCAGGACAGCCATTTTTGTCAGGGTTACCTTCCTCCTTTATCCTAGTCCCTCCGTTGAATCTTCCAGAAATATCTGCTGATTGAGTAGTGACAGTCCCAAGATAGTGTTCCCCACGATAATCACCTCTTAATGTCCCTTTTCCTTTGATGTCTTTCATCTGAAATTTCAGTGGTTTCCAACCTTCCTAATGCTGTGACCCTTTACGACAGTTCCTCATGTTGTGGTGACCCCCCCCCCCAACCATAAAATTATTTTTGTTGCTACTTCATAGCTGTAATTTTGCTGCTGTCATGAATCACAAAGTAAATATCTAATATACAAGATATCTGATGTGTGACCCCTGTGGTGGTTGTGACCCACAGGTTGAGAACCACTGATCTATTTCTTCTAGAATTTGCATTTTCAGCTGCTGAATCAAGACTTCTGTGGGAGACCAGCGAGAATTTCAGCTGTCTTCTCAATAAGAAGCTCCATTTTGGGGCGCCCAGGAATGTCCTGTCTTAAACCCACAGGAAGTCATTCTCTGATGCTGATGAGACAGCACAAGATGAGGATGAGTGACGACGGACCAGTGTGTGGTTAAGGCGAGCTTGTTTACAGGGAGCACCAGAAAGTGTATTACCACGACCCCAAGACAAGTGTCCATCTCTTCATTGACTTAGACGGCAATAAGGACACATGTGGGTGCGGGCTGGAATGAGGAGGAGAGCCACTCAGCACCATGGGGTACAGCTCGCCTCGGCATCTATGCACATCCGCTCGTTTTCCTCCGGGGGTTCACTTAACCAACTTCCGCTGCTGACTCATAATTTGTTTCCTGTTCAGTTTGCAAGGGCCATCGTCTGTCTCGGGGCTTCCTTTTGAGTCAGTTCCCATTCTCTAAACTTCTGAATGGTTCAGCCTCTCTCAAAAACTGGACCAGCATTGATTTCCCATGGGGGAAGGGTCCACAGAGTGATCTAGCTAGTGCACATGCCATATTTATCCGGTGTGGTCAAGCTTTGCAGAACGTCTTGCAAACTGAAACATGCTCCACAAGCTGTGAGCAGGGCAGGTGTGTGTGGGTCATCTCCCCAATTGACTTCTTCAGGCAAACTAGTTCCAGTTCATTTATATTATGGTTTATCTAATCCATAGAACCTCACGTTGACATTGCAGAGAACTCTGGGACATAACACTGATTTAAAATTCCTATCTTCATAGTGGTACACACCTTTAAATCCTAGCACTCAAGAGGCAAAGTCAAGAAGATCTCTGTGAGTTCAAAGCCAACCTGATTTACAAAGCAAGCTTTCGGACAGCCAGGATGACGCAGAGAGACCCTGTCTCAACAAACAAACAAAAAAGGTTAATTTAAAATACACTGAAATTCCCATCCTTGGTTGCCATGTCCTAGTGCCAAATGGTGCACACACAGTGTTAACACTTGAGTATAACTTTGTTCTCAGAAACCCATGAGCAAAGATCATCGTAGCAGGCTCTTTCAGCTTCCTTTATGATGGACAGAAGCAACATCTTGAGCTGTATATCGGTACTTTTCATTCTTGTTCCAGTTCGGAACCACATTTTATAAAATACCTTGCTTTGTGCATTATTGTTGCACTAAATGAAGAGTTCTATTAAATTGCCTTATTTTTAATGTGGAGGGATTTTTGTTTTAAGATTGGATCTTACTTTAAGAAAATTCTAGAAAGATGGCTCAGCTGTAAATAACACTGGATGCTCTTCCAGGAGACTTGGGCTTGTTCCCAGCCCTAACATGGGAATTTATAACCATCTGTAACTCTGGTTCCAAGGTATCCGATGCCCTCTTCTAGCCTATGTGGGCACCAGGCATAGATGTGGTACCCAGACATACATGCAGGCAAAACACATGAACACATAAAAATAAAATAAAACTCTAAATTAAACTAATATGCCAGTATTTTCCAAAGTCAGCTGATACTACTTCAATCAGATGGCATAGAGAAAATTCTGGAATATCCATAATAGGGACGAACCATCTCTCAGGAAACAATGTCTCAAGGTGTGGGGCTCTGAGCTTTGGTATGCTGAGAGTTTGAACTGAAGGACCTTGGAAGGCCTTAGGAGCCATCTCAGAGAGAGACTTCACTGACCTTCTGTCTTCCCATCTGTCACTCTTATTGTCTCCTGAAGCAAATCACAGTAACAGGAACTCCTGTGCCCAAGCCAGGTCATTGAAAGGAGAACTCCTTTTCCCCCAAGCAACTCCTAAAGCCTAAAAACATTACCTTAGCCTTCCTCTACATTCAGGTACAACGGCTGGCCATAAAGAAATTCTCAAACATGCTCTGTGCACATACATACAAGCAGGCAAAACACTCATTTTATCATGTAGATAAAATAACATTTTAAAGAATTGATTTCGCAGGGGGGCGGCAGCGGCGGTGGGGGGGGGGGGCGGCGGCGGCGGCGCCTTTAATCCCAGCACTGGGGAGGCAGAGCCAGACGGATCTCTGTGAGTTCAAGGCCAGCCTGGTCTACAGAGCGAGATCCAGGACAGGCACCAAAACTACACGGAGAAACCCTGTCTCGAAAAACCAAAAAAAAAAAAAAAAAAATTGATTCATTTAATCTGTTATGTTTTTAGTCATCTCTATTCGGCTGTGGAGTATTGGCTGTTCCTCTGCTGGAGACAACCCATGGCTTCTGTTGTCATGTTATAACAAACATGAAAAGGCACATGGAAAAGAGAACTGTGCACACACCTGGCATCCGTCAGTCACATGCCGTTTTCATTCCGAACACGTTTTTGTAACCAGAAGATACAATTAATTCATACTATTTGCTTTTACGACACCGTGTTTGGGTCCTACCGCTCTTAAAAGCACTGAGTTTTTCACAATGGGAACTAAAATGTGTTTCCTTTAAGAGGACAACAGGTTGAGCCCAACTGCAAAAATTATATTTACTTCGTAAATCAATTCTGTGGTTGGAGATGAAGACAGTTTACTAACAGCAAGACTCACTTCCTCCTTCAAGGGGTGTTGGTTCTAGGCATGCTTACAACCACAGTTTCTCCCATGTGCAAACACCCAGAGCCAAATAATTGGAGGTTCACTCGTCAAATATTTTGTCTTGCAGTTATAGAACATAATTGTTTTCTTAAAGCATAGATTGTTTTCTTAAAACAAAGCGAAACAAAACAAGACTTCCCTAAACTCTATGCTGCATGATTCTTGAAGCCAGTAATACCTTCCATTTCATGAGAGGAAGAAAAACAAATGCTTTTGGCAGTTGAAAACCAGGGTGGAATTTCCTCTGCCCGGTGCTGATGTGGGGTTACCACAGCAGTCCCCTACTCCAGCTGACCAGCCTGGGTTTATGTCTTATGGGTGAGGGATAACGCTTCCTTTGCTACTAGAGCCTTGGCTTGTGTCCCATCTTCTTGTGGCCTTACCCACCCTGTGGTGGCCCTGCTCTGTGGAATGGCCCCTGCCATGGAAAGGCTACGTGTCCCAGGGCTGATCCATCATGTTTGTGTATTTGCCTTGTTTTCCCAGACATGTAAATTGCATGAATGACGAGGCAGTAGATACCCTGTTCATGCTTGCGTACAAAGCCCTAACACAGCACAGGGCTCAGTAACTACTGCCGGCCAATGAGAGGGAACAGCACGGATTAGAAGCAAGCAGCCAGTTTGTTTTTTTTAAGGATCAGTTCTGCGTACACATATATTAGTCTTTAATTCAGTAGTTGACAAAGAAAGCCGGAGGACAACTTCTTCACAATCTCTCCTCTTCTCTGCCCTACTTTGGGCTGCATTTGAATTTCCTGGCAGTTTAAGCAGGTGTTCCTTTCTGTGTCAGGCTTCAGGTGCCTTCCCCTCGCTCCAAGCTGCAGCCATGGTAGATTTTTCAGTTCCTCAATACAGCAGGCTTTCTTGACTCTTCACACCGCATTTCTCCCAGCTTGAAATGTTCTGTCCTGGCCTCCGTGATGCGGCGCACTTACCGTTCTTTTGGAGGCGGGGACAGATGCTGTAGCCTCAGAATTGAACTCTCTGATACCCTCATCTAAACGATCTCCCGTGTGTCCCACGCGTGTTCTGCGTTTGAATTCCGCATGGTGCTCATCACTTTAATGACCCGTTTCTCTAACGCTCTTGTGTCTGGTTTGATGCCTTGCTCTTGCTTGTCTAGGAATAGGGCTGGCGTTTCAGTGCCTCGTAGCTGGCAGATACTCAGTGTGCAGCTGTTGAAAGAATGAATAAATGATATTGATCTTTATCATATGATAAAGAATATTCTCTCCCTCCCTCCTTCCCTCCCTCCCTCCTTCTTTCCCTCTGTCCCTCCCTCCTAGCTCTATGTATATTAAAATGTTGAACTACTCTATAAAGGAAAATCTTTGTTTTCAATGGCAGTATGGATAAAATGCTAATCAAGCAATGAATGAATTGCAACAAATTTTAAGCATCGGTGTCAAGGCAGAGTGTGAAATTTGATTTCAGGTTACCCCACTATTTAGTTGGAAAGTCTGTTTTTAGGGGAAAGCTTCAACCATAGCTTCATGGTTTGTGAGCCTCCTTTATACTTTCTATTCCAATATTTCTCTTGGCTTTAGTATAAAAAAATCAACATACCATTCTTTCTATTTCAATTTAACTATACCTTGATTTCCAAATAAACTTTGAAACCATGTTCACACTGCTAATCCATTTTTCAGACATCAGACAAAGCAGTTGATAGAAAGGTTAAAGGGAAGGTTAGAATGATGAGACCAGCCAAACCTAGCATTCTATCAATAGTAGTTTAATATACAAATATTCCTAATAGACAAGGTCAAAAGGAAATGTAAGGATTTTAGAAGTCCCTTAGATATTATAAAGAAGCATTGGTATTCAGCCAGGAGGGGGCGGAGGGAATGCCATTCTTAGCATTGTGCTCTAAGAAAGAGGTGTGCCCCTAATAAGAATTCCTTGCATAGAACGAAACACAAGAACAAACAACACAAGGGATAGTACTTTAAATACTATTTTGTAGAGATTTCAAAAAAAAGTCTGTAGCTGGCCGTTTCCTATGGTAGATTGTAAGAGGAGAATATGAATTTTTTTGTAAAGGCATTTCAGCAAGGAGCTAAGGGAAATGTGCATGTATGTTGCTTTCTGCTGGAGCAATCCAAGGGAAGCAATGTTTATCAAGAAAAGAGGAAAGTAGAGGCCAACATGTTCTTTTCAAAGATCACTCATATGTAGCCCTCTAAAATCAGGCAGGTAGATTCCCTCTGTCTCCCTTCCCGTTTTTTTTTTTTTTTTTTTTTTTTTTTTTTTTATCATGCTATAATTAGATTATGGAATTCATGTGCAAAATTTACCCTCACCTGCAGGGTAAAGTAAAATGTGACTTTGGATTTTTTTTTATCTTGTCCACTGGATGGGAAACATATTTCGGCATATGCCATACTTCATTTATATAGTTGATCCTGGGCTAGTTTTCTGACCCTGGTTAGGTTGTAAATTCAGCTGTTTTCTAACTATACTCAGGGGTGATTATGCAATGATTTAAAAGTGGCAGATAATCTTTTGTTGGAGTATTCATAGAAGGTAGTGTTTGGCTTCCTGTCACCCATTCAGTATGCCTGTAATAGAAACTGAGGTGCATTCCATTCTCCATTTGCTTCAGAGATTTTCCAGTGAAGGAAAAATCTGAGTCAAGGAGATGTGTGCTAGCTTCCAGAGGAAAATGTTGTCTTCCCAGCTCCTTATGAAGCCTCATGGGATAGAGGGCCCAAAGTTGTATCTTGTCTTGCTACCAAGATAAGCCAAAAACAGTTACAAGCTGTACAATATACAATAAAGAGAGAATGGGTAGGAGACAGCTTTTTAACCTTGAGTCAGGCATGTGCAAAAAGCAGTCTTTCACTTAGCTCAATTTGGGTTCAATTTTTCTTATAGCCAAAAACATTAACTAAAATATCCTCCTTCTCCTCCTCAGAAGGCTCAAATATGAAGAGAAACCTAGGCCTGAAGTCTGCCTCACACTTTCAGAGCCCCAAACCTCACTATAATAGTGCCCCCTTGCCCATGGCTTCAGGTACCCAGGATCAACTGCAATCTGAAAATGTTTTTCGTCATGGAGAGGGAGGGATGGGTGATGGGAGTGAGTGAGGGGGAGAGAGAGAGAGAGAGAGAGAGAGAGAGAGAGAGAGAGAGAGAGTTATTACGGTTGTTCTGTTTTACTCTTAGTTGTTTCCATTCATCTCTTACTGTGCCTAATTTATAAGTTAAACCTTATCATTGGTCTCCATGTAGGGAAGAAACAGTGTCATGGGGCTTAGAGTGCTGTTGGCAGCTTCAAGCATTCACTAGATGTTTCACGTGTCTCTCCCACAGATGAGGTAGGAGTGTTGTGTATGCTTTACACACTCATGTTGAAAGGGCTAAACTGTGTCCAACTTCTAAAACACTATAAAGGAAATTCTGTTGGAATTCCACTGTTACCCATTTTAATTCTGTCAGAATGGAATAGAATTCAAAGATTGGCTTCTACACCGAAGTACTGCATGTGGAAAGACAGCTGGGAAACCTGTTTAATGAACATCTACATGATTGATATTTATCAAATTACTTCAATAGACTAGAAAGAAAAAGGGTTCCCTAGTCAGGTTGTGTTTGGATTTTTCTTCTGCTATATCAAATTGAAGAACCAGAGCTTGAATCTGAAATCCATCCTCTATTCTCAAAGGATGAGAAGACTTGTGACCTGGGGGACACTAGTTAGCTTCTCAGCAGAAGATTGCTTGCACACTAACCCCATCTGAGGAGACTGTTACTAAGGTACCAATGAGATGGAATGGATGACGACAACCAAAGCTTTGCCTCTTGGGTTGTTCCTACATGTTCTTCTAAACAAGTGATTTTAGGACAGTTTCGAAAGGGTGCCATAAGGGAAAACATTGTCTCTTAGGTCCCTGTCCCTCTGGAAGTGACTGAATGGACACCAGCATTTAGCTCTAAATATTTATACATACACTGAATTGTTGAACAAGAAGATTCCTTGGAGCTGTAGAATGAACAGAGATTTCGGTAAAGTTCAGAACAGCCTAAGTAGGCTGGAATTGAATTGTGTGATCTCTTTCTTGGGCAACTGTGTTCCCAAATTCACACTCATTGATCCTGTTAACTATAGTCAAGATCTTTCATCTTCTTTTTAAATATTAAATCTTTAAGTTTAGTACATGTCAATATAACTACAAAACCATTAGGTATGTATATAATTTATAAGTTACAAATACATTTGTCAGCATTTTAAGTTGTATTTTTTCCCTTTCAGATGAATGTGTTTCTTTTAAAAATGTGGTTGTGAAGAATTATTGAATTAGATGAATGTGATTCTTCATGAATAAAGGAGAATGTGGTGGTTTGACCCTCCCAGGCTCATATGTTTAAATGCTTAGTTACTGGGGAGTGCCACCACTTGGGAAAGATTAGGAGGTGTGTCCTTGTTAGAGTAGGTGTGGCCTTGTTGAAGAAAGTGTGACACTGTGGATAGGCTTTGAGGTTTCAAAAGCCCAAGCCAGGCCCAGTGTCTCTCTCTCTTCCTGCTGCCTGTGGATCCAGAGGTAGAATCCAGATGCTCAGCTCCATTTTTTTTTTTCAGAGCTGAGGACCGAACCCAGGGCATTGTGCTTGCTAGGCAAGCGCTCTACCACTGAGCTAAATCCCCAACCCTGCTCAGCTCCTTCTTTAGCACCGTGTCTTCCTGTGTGCCACCATGTTTCCTGCCATGCTGATGTCAGGGTGGACAGACTGTAAGAGCTTGAGGTGGTGGGCGACACCTAGGAAACAGTGTCTAGACGCAGCAGGATTGCTGTGTGCGTGACCTCTGACACGGTAAGCCAGCTTCAATTAAATGCTTTCCTCTATAAGGGATTCCATGGTTATGGTGTCTCTTCACAGCAATAGAGCATTGACTGAGATAGAGACAGTATCATTTAGGATTTTCTTTTTTATTGCTCACACCTTCTTGAAAACATCAAACTCTCTGTCTTTGTACTGGATGTTCCTTTTGATTCATTGAAACCATCTAGTAACAGACCTAGTTGTAAGCAGTTTGATACTGTGTTCAAACAATGGCACAAGGTCTAATCCTAAGCTTTGCTCTATGGCTTGCATCATTCTCAGTGGTATTTTTATGTTTTGCAAGGGAAGAATCACTTTCTACAGTTTCCTGACAATTCTTAAGTTGTATATGTGCTCTTTCTCTAGATCAGGTTAATGTGTTCATCCTATTCTTCCAACCAATCATTGGGACTAGGGCCTAGGAGTGTGGAAGATGCTGCTAAAATGAACTTCTGAGCTCCTTAGGGCTTACTACAAAGTCAAGTGGATTCAGTCTTCGCAAAGTACAAGGACTAGAACAAGAGTTGTTTACCCATTGCAAAATCTGGATCCTGTTGAGACACTGGCCAAAGGGTTCCCATGCAACCCCTCAAGCTTCACAGGCTACTGGCAAGGCTCTTAGTTACTCTCTACAACCTGATGGGAAGGCCCTGTTGCTGAAGACAACAGTTACTCATGTCACTGAAGTCAGGCTGGTGCCTAACTAGAAGCTTCACCCCTACTGATTAGATTCATGGTACTGGAAGATACTCTGCACACGACCCGAGGAGAAAGGCAGTCATCAATATCACCCAACTACAAACCCTGTGACATAAAACAGAGATTTGCCTATATGATACACTGGAACAATAGCAGCGTAAAGGCCATAGGAATAACCAACCACGGGTTAAAATTGTATTTAAGCAGGGTATTGGTGGTGCACGCCTTTAATTGCAGCACTCAGAAGGCAGAGGCAGGGGAATCTCTGTGAGTTTGAAGCCAGCCTGGTCTACAGCGTGAGTTCCAGGACAGCCAGGGCTACACAGAGAAGCGCTGTCTTAAAAAAACAAAAACAAAAACAAAATTGTATTTAAGTCTTACCTGTAAAATGGAGGTCATATCTTGCCTAAAGAGGCCAGGAACCTGAGAGTAGATGATAGGTCGTGGGCCTAGGGGAAAACCTAGTGTTCTTATTCTGTTAAAGAAACAGCAATAAAATGATTCCTAATGACACTCTGCTATAACCATAAATTAGTCCCTTGCTCAATCCTTACTAGAGAAGTTTCATCTTGCAGTAGATGGGAATTCACACAGAGGCTCGCAACTGGACAATGTGCAGAGAATGAGAGACTTTGGCGCACTCAGTCCTACGTGACGTCTTCATCAAAGTCTTCCCCTCAAGGCTCAAGGGGGCTCTGTGGAAGAAGGGGGGACAGACTGTAAGGGCTTGAGGTGGTGGACGACACCTAGGAGACAGTGTCCTCCAGACGTAGCAGGACTGCTGTGTGCACGACGTCATAGAGACTGTGGCTGCAGACACAAGGCCCGCACAGGGTCAAGTCAGACCCGAGAGGGGGAAGTGGACATGGGGTCCCACCCTTAGCCAAGCGTCTATCTGCAACTGACACCCCCTAACAAAGGGAAAACCAGTCTTCTCCAGTGGACTGTCACTGGGTATATCAACCACACTCCAGGCAGGCCCCATGCCCAGTAGTTGGCCAGCACAAAAGGACCTGAATGGTATTTCTGTGGACCTTTTCTTTTGCTTTGCTTTGTTTGGGCTTTTTTTTTTTTTTTCCTTATTGGTCTTTTGCCTGTTTGCTTTGATTTTTGTTTTTGTAGAGTTTGTTTGTTCCTTTTGTTGTTATTGTTTTTGGTTTTTGAGAGAAAGAGAGAGAACATGAAGGTAGGTGGGTAGGGAGGTCGAAGAATCTGGGAGAAATTGGAGGAGGGAAGAACATGATCAAAATATTGTCTATGAAAAACTAATTCAAAAAATAATAAAAAATAAAACATTAAAAAACAAAAGTTGGTTCCTGTTACCGTCACAAAGGGGCGGGAGGCACACCAGCAGTGCAGCAGGTTAGCTGTCGTCTTCAGAAAAGTGAGCGGGCGCTCTGGCAAGAAAGAACACAAATGTTCCCATGGTAGAGTTGGAAGCCAGTGACTTTATAGACCTCTTTATGAAAGCTTTCTTTTTAATCTAGAACTTCAGAATGAAGGACCTAAACACGGATTGAGATATTTGATACTGTTGTGACATTGACATGGATTAAACAGTGCTCCTCAATTCCTGTGTGAAGCTCGAGTCCCAATATGATAGAATTTGGAGAAAGGATTTTTTTCAAGACAGGGTCTCTCTGTGTAGTTTTAGTGCCTGTCCTGGATCTCACTCTGTAGACCAGGCTGACCACGAACTCACAGAGATCTGCCTGGCTCTGCCTCCCGAGTGCTGGCATTAAAGGCGTGCGCCACCACAGCCCAATTTGGAGAAGGGATTTTTTTTTTAAATAATTTATTTAATTTTATTTTATGTGATTGGTGTGAAGGTGTCAGGTCTCCTGAAGCTGGAGTTACAGACAGTTGTGAGCTGCCATATGGGCACTGGGAATTGAACCTGAGTCCTCTGGGATAGCAGCCAGAGTGCTCTTATCCACTGAGCCATCTCTCCAGCTCAAGAGGGGATTTTTAATAGGGTTAGATTTGCTCATGAGAGTAATACCTTCATGATGAGATTACTGGGAGTGCGGGGGAGGGCGGAACAGGGAGAAGGCAGTTGACTGTAAGTTAGGCCAACTGTAACTAGATACTGAATGTTCTAGCACTTTGACCTTGGCCTTTCCAGGTTGCAGAACAGTTAGAAACAAACACCTTTAGTTTAATCCACCCTCTTTGTAGAGGGTTTTATTACAGTACCCTGGAGCAGAATAATGAAACCTTACAGAGAAATGAGTGATTCAAAGAACTCGTCTTAGCAGCCCGACTGTTGGCAGGGAGCGGGGAGTTACTCTGGAAAAGGTCGCCAAGTGTTTCCATGAGAAGAGCTCTCAAATGGAAAGTGCCTTTCAGCCATCGGAGCCCATCTGCCTGACCACGGTGCGCACTTGGTCTGTGCCTTGGCAGTATATGTAATGTTACTTGGCTTTGGATATATATGCGCCACGTATGTGTCTTGAAAACATCAAATCATTTGGTCATATACTTCATGAGGAAGTTAGATGGCCCACATTCCAGTCGTTGTTGTCAGCAAAATCTTTAAGTTGCTGATGAAGAGAGAAATTAGTTTTTTATTATCAAGTTTGTAGCATGATGCATTCGTTTTATGGCCTGGATTTTCCTGTGGGTTTTGGATTTTGTTTTTTTTTTTTTTTTTGGGGGGGGGGTGTTTGTTTGTTTGTTTTTTGTTTTTGTTTTTGTTTTTTAGTTTCTGGATCCCAGGTAACAGGGATAAAATGAATCACACAGTCCAATTAGTGAATTCTGCATGTGCTCAAAAAGGAAAGTTCTATTTTAGAAAAATAGTTTAACTCTAAGTCTTGCGTGAAGAAATACCTCATGCAGGCAGGTCTTAGTTGGGAACCTGCCCTGAGGGTGTGGAAGCCTCCTCCGTGGCTTTGATTATCCTCCTCCTGAAAGTTTCAATTTAATCGTGAGAAGGTTTGACTCTTTTGAAAACAGCAAGAAAATCAATTATCAGGGTTTCAGTTTTCTCTGGGCAATTTCGCCACTTCAGCATGCCCAAGAGAGAAACGGCCTGTAATTTTGTTATGCTTAAAAATCTGGCAAGTTAGCTAATGGTCTTACAAAGAAATCCCTTTGGTGGCATCTGCAGGAAGTTATGTGGGAACCATTTAGAGCCACGGTAGAAAAGCCTTTGTCCCCAAGGAAGTCCATGGAGATCTTCTGGGGAGCTGAGGAGTCCGGATATTCTTAAACCTTGGACAGATTCATCAGACTCACTGTCTCATTTAAACCTTTGCCAAAAGTCACTCATGTTTCATCCAACAGACCTCTCCCCCTAAGAAATCCACATCTTCACAAAGACAACACAAAAAACCACCTCGTGTTTCTTTCCTTATTGTGATGATGAAGTCTGTCTCAAATGAAAAATACTAGTATTGATTTTATAGTGTCTGGTGATAGCACCTGGGCAAGGCTGCTGCTTGAAGAAGCATTCTCCAAATGCCTTCCTCAGAAGTATTTTGTCGCTTTTGTCACAGTGTTTTGTTGGGAGAGAAGAATGGTCTGGAGGAAGTATTAGTCAAGGTAAAATACTTCTTGGAAGTATTAGTCAAGGTAAAAAGAAAAAATAATGTAAAATTATTGAATATTGGTAAGCATAAAAAGAAATTGAATCTGACAACAGGAAAATGAATAAACGTTATATCCAGAACCTCTCTGTTTTGTACAGGGCTGGGGATAGAAGCCAGGACCTCCTGAGTGGCTCTGTCATTGAGTTACAGTCCCTGTCTCCAAAACACAGTAACAAGAAGTTTTAGGAGCTCGTCTCCCAACAGAAGCAAGAGAAATAATAGTCTCCTGAAGGTGGGGCCATACCTCTGTGCATTGAGAACTGGTCTGAACAGGACCCTCAAGGCTTTCTGTAGGGAATAACACCAAACGGAGGCGCAGAGAAAGCAAGTTTAAACACCCTCTTGGCTCCCACTGATTTCTACCTCATCATGTCTAGGCAGTTCAAAAATCCTACTGCTTGTCTCTTGCCAATTCAAATTCTCTGTGGCCAGAAAACTGTTCATTTGATATTATGGATAGCTTCCTTGGTGGAATACATTAAGTATAAGCTTCTTTGTCTGAACTTCTTGTCTGATTTTTTTTCAAATGGCAGCTAACCTCAAGAAGACGTTGTGAACAATGTTAGCTAAGGTTCTGTGCATTTCTTCTTTTTCAACGACTAGAAATAGCAAGTTGTAAGGTGTTAGAACAACGGCGAAGGATTTGCAAGGATTTAAGAAAGACTATCACACAGGATTGAGCCAGCTTGCAGGAAGTGTTGTGTATTCTTTGTTATGTGCCCAAATTACACAGTGCCAGCTCCAAGAAGACTATGAAACTGAGCGCACCGAGGAGCCATAAAGTTGGCAGCGGTCGTTATGGCCCGGAGGCAAGGTAGGTCATTGCCACTGGATCAAAAGAGAGACTATAATAAGCTATGGGGTTTTTCGAGATTTCCTTGTAATTAAAGCTATTATAGAACTGGAATTTAGTTTAGAATCTTTTTTATACTAACCAAAAAAGTCAATACATTGAACATGGATGTTTACTGTCTGTTTCAGAATACTGGAAGGTTTTGGAAACATCCGGAGTTTTCCCAAAGTTGATGCTAGAATCCCAAATGATCACGGATGACATTGTACCATTCTGTGAGATGTGTGAGGATATGAGTAACAATGAAGGAGGGAGTGGCTAGCCTGGCAGGCTATAAAGACAGACTGAGATGGCCCTTGGAGAAAAGAGTACTACCAGCTGAATGTGTTGACATTCCATCTCCTGCACAGAACCCTAATTACTGGGCAGCCATATTTACAACAGTTAATGTGGGCAAAGATTTATTGCCTACAGAAGGTAGGAATGGCAGAGGGGTGATTTCCAAAGCAATGCCTGCCTTGAACAAAGGAACAACAGCCTGGACTTTACCCAGGGAGCCTGTGCCTACTCATGTGAGAAGGCACGTTCAGGGTAGACATATCCTGAGCATGCTCTTTTCAAGGGCACATTACTGAGCAGATACAGGTTAGTTCAAGACAGAAAGATGACTAGCAAGAATCCTTCTGAGCATGCTTGTCTTGTGTCTCAAGGATGGTGGGTACTGATGCGCCCGGGACAGGAATGTTTAGCTTCCTTGCCCCGAACGACTGTAACTACAGCCGAAGAGAAGGACATTTCTAAGGTATGTTAATAAAGGCAGAGGTCTGCCTTACTGAACTGTTAATGATTGTGTCTCCATTTTATCCTTTGGTGGTGCGAACACAAAGCAGAAGAAAAATGGCTTTTGTGAGGTTGGGGTTGGTTCAGCATAAACTATCTGCTAGTGAACATCAATCAGACTGTTAAACTTTCCAGAAACTTTTTTTTTCTTTTTTAATCGAGGGATGATAGCGATGGTGGCACACACCTGTAGTCCCAGCACTAAGGAGGTAGAGGCAGGACGACCTTGAGCCTGCATAGCAAGACCAAAAAAATAACAAACAAAGAATAAAAGAAAATCGAGAGCTAGACTATGGCTTGTCATATGAAATGCCTTGGGGTTGATTCCTCAAAGGTGGATGGGGCTGTTAGACTTTCTATGAAGGAAGCCTCTGCCTCACCTGAGGCCACCAAACTTTTCCTTGTGTTTTCTTTTAGAGGCTGCCTTGTAGTGAGGCTTGCATTTAGCTCTGCGATCCATTTGAATTCAATTTTCGAATATGGTGAGAAGTTTGTGTTTTTGCACCTGGGTGTTCAGCTTATGGAAACAAATTCCTTTTCCTTTGTATTCATGTTTCTTTGTTAAAAATCAGTTTTATGTACGTAGACAGGTTATTCTTGGACTCTGTATTATGGCCCATTAAAGAATTTGTCCACCTTTATCTTAGTATACATTTCCATATTTGTGCTAAACATGTGACCTCAATTATTGTAAAATTATAATAAATTTAAAGTATGGTTGTGGCAGCCCTCCAACTTTGCACTTTTTCCGTATTTATTTGAGTCTTCTGGATTCTTTGTACTTTCTATGGATTTTTAAATCAATTTATCAGTTTCTGAAAAGAATGCCTACTTGTAGTGGGTAGCCATTTCAACCTTGATCTGGAAGTTCCAACCCCCATTGAGGCTTCAGTAACTGTCACGCCTACAAAGCGGGGGCCAAGAGAGGACCCTGAAGACCCGAGATCCGGATGCACCAGCTCTCTTGGTTCCTGGACCCTGGACGCTGGAAGTAGACCGAGCAGAGTTCTCCAGAGAACACTGCCGGACTGCTCCACACCTTTCCTAGACCCTGCAACCTACCTATCCCTTCATCTGTAAGTTACACCACAAAATAAACCTCCCTTTTAACTACGTGGAGTGGCCTTAATAATTTCACCAATATCTACTGGGAATCTGATTGGGCAAGCCATCAATCTGTCCATCCCTTTCAGGAGAACTGACAATATTCAGCCTTCCATCTCAACAACATGATATCATCTTCCTTTAATATCCCCTAGAGATGATTTGTAGCACATCTTTCACATTTTTTGCTTTGTTTTTATTTATTATTTTCCTATTTTAAATTGATTCTTTGACAGTTTTGTGCATTTCTAGAATGTATTTTGATTGTATTCATCTCCCTCTTCTCTTTTTATCCCCTCCCTCTCCCTCTGGAAGCCTTAGTCTACGTGTCCCCTCCTACTTCCTTTTCTAGGTTTTTAAATTGTGTGGCATGCACGAGTGTGTGTGTGTGTGTGTGTGTGTGTGTGTGTGTGTGTGTGTGTGTGTGATGTGTGATGTATATGTGTGAGCACAAATGTCACAGCACATATGTAAAAGTCAGATGTTAATTGTATAGACTTGATTCTTGCCACCTTTAGGTCAGTTCTGGAGACTGAAGTCAGGTACCAGGCTTGCTAAGGCAAACATCCTTAACTGCTGAGCCACCTCACTGGCCCATCCTGTCTTTTGATTAAAAAGAGTATATATATATATATATATATATATATATATATATATATATATATATATTGTGTGTAAACATGCTGATTAATTGATTAATTAGGGTCACTTGCATGTGCATGGGTCTGGGGTTATCCACTTGAATCATGGACAACTTAACAGTGGCTGAGCCCCTAAAGAAAAATGACTGTCCTCTCTCTCTCCTCTAGCAGCCATTAACTACCAATGGCTCCTTAGCTAGGGGTGGGGCCTCCTGCACTCCTCCCACATCTGTGCTGGAAGGTCGGCAGTCTCTATATCGTACAGGACCTATATAGGGAACCACAGCTGTTTTGAGTTTATGAGCACAACAGCTGCGTCATGTCTAGAAGACATTGTTTCTCAGCACGCCTTCCCATCCTCAGACTCTCACGGGTTTTTTGTTGTTGTTGTTTGTTTTGTTTTGTTTTTTTCTGCCTCTCTTCTGTGATAGTCCCTGAACTTTGAGAGGAGAGGATGATATAAATGTCCCATTCGGATGCCAGGACGCAGCAGCCAGTTGTTCTCAGGACTTTGACCAGTTATAAGTTGCTTCTCTGACCAAGATTGAAAGCAGCCTTTGTGTATAAACGTAGGTATTTAGAAGGCAGTTTGACCACATGTTCATTTAGCAAAATGACAGCAGTAGGCTCCCCCTTAGTGCCTATGACCTCCAAAGCCATGGACTTTTGGCAAGGTGTGTTTGTTTCTTTACAATACTAGGAATGAAATCTCTCAGTTGGTGTGGGCCTGAAATCCAACTGGAAAGTAGTTGGCTATCTCATAAGGTTCCTGCCACTGTTGCCTCAGTGGGCACATCCGGCTTGGCAGATCAGTGCTGGACCATGCAAGGTCCACTGCCATGTAAAACCATGGATGGCTTTTCCTTCCCCTCAGTGATTTCCATAGCTTCTTCTGGCACTGTAAAAGCTGGTCAGCAGGAGGAAGTTTTCAGATCAGTTCCGACTTGACTTTGTGTGTCCTGTAACCAAAGTGTGTGGTGTCTTTAGCAACAGTGTTTTGCCGTCTAGTTGTAGTGCACAGCCCAAAGCTCTGGCAATAGACATTGCTTTGGGGACCCTCTGGAGCCTTTGTGATCAACACGTCATAGACAGAATCCGTGCCTGGCATTGGGATTTTTATTTAATAGTCTGTATCTTCTTAAAACAGCACTATTTATACTATAGCATACCTCGATTCCAATTTCTGTATAAAAACTTACTTTTTTAAAATTAGATTACACCATAGTGGGTTTCCATAGACTTTTCCCTACAGCTTTCATTTTGATTAACCGTCTCCACTACTTTCTTCTCCACATCCCCCAGCCTCCATCAGCATTTAGACTTTTCTCACAGATTCTGGCGGCTTTATCCCTATCGCTGCATATTGCTGATGCTCTAGAAAATCATATTATTTTTGTAAAATTTCTGACTGTTATTAGCATCTTAGACCATTAATTGATTTTTGTTTATTGATTTTGCTTCCAGAATTTTGCTAAATCACTTGTCAGTGCTGGTAGAACTATTTTTTTTTCAATTTTCTCTAAGATTGCATATAAATTTAGTATCATTTCTTTCTTTGATGTTTGACCAAATTTTCTCAGTAAAAACCTGGGAATGGGAAAAATATTTAACTGAAGGTTAAAATTTTTATAGGCATGGAGCTATTTCAGTTATTGATTTCTCTCTCTTATAGGTCCGTAAAGCATGTTGAACTGATGTAGTCAACGAGGCAGCTTTGGATTTTTATTGATTTACCAAAAGATTTTATATTTCTATTTTATTGCTTCTTGATCTAATCTTCCCATTTTTGTCACTTAGATTCCTCCTTTTTTCTTGTGCAGCTGGAATTGAGTCTGAGCCTCACTAATGTTGCTGTGTGTAGGTTAGTCGTTTGTAATGCTCTAAATTTCTCTCAGTGTTGTGTCAGGTTGTCTCACATGCTTAGAATTATTTAATGTACAGTATCCATTGGTTTTCAGTTTCTCTTCTAATTTATTATTTGTTCCTTTGTCTCTTCATTCATTCTTTTGCTTGTCCATTTGGTCCTTTCTTTTTGAGACAGAATCTTGTGTATTTTAGGATGGTCTTGAACTCACAGTCCTCTTGCCTTAGCCTCATAAGCATTGAGGTTACAGGCTTGTACCACTATACATCTCTGATTCACAGTTTAGTGTTAGAAACATTATTTGGTTTCCAAATATGTGAAGATATTCTAGGGATCTTCTGGCCATTAAATTTTAATTCCAAGGTCAAAGATCATCCTGTGTATGACTTGAATTCTTTAAAATAAAATAATTTTTATAGCCTATCCTTGGTAAGTGCTCCAAGTACACTTGAAAAAAAAATGTTCATTCTGCTCTTGTTAGGTGGGGTAGTGTGTAAATCTCAGTTTAGTCAAGTTGGTTATGTTGTGTTTCTGTCTGCACAAAATTTGTCTTCATAGGTTCTGTGTCTACCTGTTTCGTCAAGTATTGAATCTCTACCCATAATTTTAATTTGTCTACATTTCTTATAGTTTTACCTGTTTTTTCTCCATGTATTTTCTTATTAGGTACATAAATATTTGATTTGCTTAGGCCCTATGAATCAATCTTGTGAAATAAGGAAAAGGAAAAACTTTCTTAAAATACTCTTTGCTTTGAAATCTGTTGTCTCTGATATAAATAGAGTGATGCTTTCTTTTAATTGGGGTTATCATGGTGTATCTCTACCATTTTGCATATATATTTGTAAATCAATATACATGTGTGTATATACAGGCTTATACATGAAGAACATTTCTTAGACACAGCATCTAGTTGGATCTTGTCATTTTTTTTCTTGTTGACTTCAGTCTTTTGAGTTATTTTGACAATTTTCATTTGTATGATGATAGTTTACAATTAATATATTATGACACAGTTGGATATTAGTCTGCCATCTTGTCACTTATCTTCTGGTTTTCCCATTGTCCCCTCCTCTTTCCTTATGCTCTTGATTGAATAATTTCTTGTAAAGCAAATCTGCTGTTGATTTTTTTGTTAAAAAGTCTTTATGCCCCCTGATTCTTGATAGTCATCTTTAATAGAAAATTCTGGGTGGATAGCTCTTTTCTCTCTACATATTAGAGATGTGACTTTACTGTCCTCTCATTTATATTTTTTTCTTATAAGAAACCTATTATACAGTTTTATCACATTATATCATGTGGCATTTGTCTCTACTTTTACATTTTTTATCATTGTCTTATAAAAATCTGATTGGGGTATGATAGCATAGTTTTCTCATATTTCTTGTGCCTGGGGTTCTTGGATATGTGGGTTTATACTCACCACTGAACTTGGAAAACATTTGGCTATTATCTTCCCCAAAAAATCCTGTCATCCTTTTTTCTAATTTCTTTCAGAGTAGACATTTTGATGTTGTTGGCTGATATAAATGTCTCTATTTTTATTTTTTTTCTGTTTTTAGTTTAGATGGTTTCTGTTGCCATGGCTTCAAGTACAGTGATTTTTTGCTATAATTTTTAATTTATTATTTAATTTTCCACTGTGGTAAAAAGCTGTATGACATGAAATTTCCCAGCTTCACCCTTTTAGAGTGTATAGTTCAATAATGTTAATTATATTGTCGTTGTTGTGATACATCTGATTTTCTCTTAATTCTATTCAGTGTGCTTTTTGTCTCATCACTGAAGTTTCATCATTTGATGTTTGAATTATGTCTTTTCTATGACATTCCCATTTTAACTTTGATCCAATAGAAAAGTTACAAATGCCTTCATCTATTCCCAGTTGACTTCTTTCTTCATTAAGACTCTGTTCTTGTTGTTTTTGCTTTTTGCTTTTTTTTTTTTCATACCATGTAATCTTGATTGCAGTTTTTTTTAATTGGGTGTGGACTATTTTAATAGTCCTAAAAATATTCTGGGGGACCAAGTATAATGGCCCATGCCTTTAATCCCAGCACTTGGGAGGCAGAGGCAGACAGACTGATTTCTGTCTATTCAAGGCCAGCTC